GCAGTACAGGTGACCTCAGCGGGCGTCGCCCGCTCCACTTCATGGGCGTGAAGGGGCTTGTCCTCGGTATGGCTCCGTTGCGCTCCGGTGCTGGGCATACCACAGCCCAGCAGTCAGGGTCACAAGAATCCTGGTGCGAAGGGGTTAAAAGAGAACTCTCTTTTTGTTTATTTTGGTCAACCAGACTAAAGAATACACAGCTGTTGAGCAGATGGAGTTGTACTCCAAAGACAGTCACCTTCGACACTACCTGCCTATCATCCGAGACAAACCTGTCTATCCCATTTTGTATGACAGAAACAATGTGGTACTGTCCATGCCTCCTATCATCAATGGTGAGTTATCCCATAGCTCTTAAAGAATTTTTTGACCTCCTAAGAAGTCTAAACAATCTCAGCCAGAATGTCTCTTGGAAAATACTTGATGCAAAGTAAATTGAGGGGCAACATTTTTCTCTGAAGTGCTGTCGTGCTCTCCCAAGAGTTTGCAATGCATTGGCCAATCACAACATGCAAAATTTGTCAATCCTTTCCGAACGTGCATTGGGTCGACTAATTTCGCGCGTTGTGATTGGTCAACGTGTTGCAGGCTCTTGGGGGTGCACTCTTGTGAATCTCTTTCCTGCAAAGTGTGATTACGATTTTCTGGAGTCTATGTTAACCGCAGTGAAGTGTATCACATGATTAAGTGATGAATGTCCGTAATCATTCGATATTCCACCTCACATTTGCCTTTAATAATGGCAAAAGATGTCTGGTGATTCAACTTAGAATATAAGCTTTCCGTTAACAGTTATGCAACCAAACTTTGTGCAACACTGCAGAGTAAATATTGTCAGTGTTTGTTACCTAGACTTCCCTGTGGAAGCTTAGTGACAAATTTTGCACTGTGCATTGTTTTTCCTTTGCAGGGGACCACACCAAGATCACCCTGGAGACGAAAAACGTCTTCATTGACATCACAGGAACCGATCTGAACAAGGTGCAGACCTCGTTGGACATCTTGGTCAGCACTTTCAGCCAATACTGCTCCAAACCGTTCCAGTAAGTTCAAGTTGCATTTGTGAAAAGTTTTAACTCCACTAAATACAACCACGGTGCAACCTGGTCAGTATTTTTCGAATGTTGTTGCAGTTGACGTTAATGGGCAGAGTACATTGTTTAACTGAGTAATGCCAAGACTGTTGTTTATCTACTACGTTGCATGGTGCAACAACATCCACCGTTGCATTTTGTTGCATTCAGCATGGTCCTCGTTACTGCCCTGTTATATTTTGTGACATGTCAGCATGGTTCTTATTTCAGCTGTGTTGGAGTTTGTTGCATTTGGCGGGGTGCCCTGTGAAAACCATAAAGCAGACAATTTAGTGTGAATTATATGTCTGTTCGTAGATCAAAGTTTCTCGTTGAGAGTATTCAAGTCATCTCAGAGCCATTTTAAAGATTCTTCCTAATGCTGTTTCCATGGTAACACTTCAGTTGCTCTTTGTCCCTGAGTGGAGCATTTCTGTTTAAAACCTGATTTAATGATCAAAGTATTGCTTCATATTGTTTGTTGTTTCAGAATTGAGAGTGTTGAAGTAACCAGGCCCGATGGTTCCAAGATGATAACGCCAACTTTAGAATACAGACATGAGCAGTTGCCAGTTGACCTGGTCAACAGCCGGATAGGCATCAAGTGAGTATGTGCAAAAGGAAAATTGATAATGTCAGGATTCGAACCATGGACCTCCGGAGCGCTGCTGCCTGTGCTCCATCAGCTTAACTGTCAAGCCCTGTGTTGGTTTCCTCGGTTGTTCCTCTTCATTTTGGTATGGATGGCCTATTCCTGCAATGTCTATAGGGCTGCTTTTCAGATTGGGGGAACGTTGTTTAGACCTAGTTGCATCTGCACAAGGTATGGATGGCCTATTCCTGCAATTTCTATAGGACTGCTTTTCAGATTGGGGGAACGTTGTTTAGACCTAGTTGCATCTGCACAAGGTTTACGACAACTGCTGTATGTGGACCTGTTTTTGTTTCCGCCTTTGAACCTGTGTTCAAATGCGAGTTCCAACACTCATGTTCCTACTCACTCATGGTACTCAGTCACACAGCTCTGGGCAAGTTTGAGCCACCACAGTTTGTCTACTGCTTGTTGATTTTGCCTGGTGCCCATGTTATATTTTTTGCACAGGTTACCAAGGAAAATTGACTAGTGGTGGACAACTGGCCATCGATCGAACTTGACTTTCGGTGGTTATGTAATTCAACAAAATCATCTAACCTGTCAGTAAACTTGAAGATTCAGAAAAGGGCATCTTTCCGACGCCTGTTCACTTGATTTGGAATTAGCTTTTTAACTAATCCCTTTATCTTTGTTTCAGTGAGAACGCTGATGCCTTAGCCAAGCTCCTGACTCGAATGTGTCTGAACAGCGAGGTCGTTGAAGGCAACAAGCAACTCCGCGTGGAAGTCCCTCCAACCAGAGCTGATATCCTTTCTTGTACATTTTGACGATAACGTCAGTGTTCATTTTTAGTCCAGCTTGGCAGGGTATTTTGTCCACTGTTGACAGCAAGTTTAAATAATTTTAATATCCCCTCTATGCAAATGCATTCAGGACAGAGCATGTGTTCCAGTCAAAGGTAGTCAGTTGCCATGTGAACAAGTTCGCCAACCTCACGTTGTTGTAATGAGAAGGGCATATTCTACGCCTTATTCAGGAGGACTGTGTACGTAACGAAGGTGCAGGCATTGTGAGGACCTCATTAATTTGCAACACATGACTAGGTCGAGAAGAAGGGTTTGGGAACTGGACAGTCCTTAGGAACAGACCGATTTCTGTGTAAATTCACGAACAGTTCGCGGAGTTATTTTCGAAAAGAGCCCTTACTCAGAGAGCTGGCTTCATTTGCTTGGAACCATCGGGTACACTTTGCTAACGTGACTGGTTATGGTCACTTTACGTCAAACCAGTCACGTTCCTTGGCCACTTTACATTGGACTTGAATTAGCTAGCAAAGCCTGGCAAGCTCATTGCGTGAGTGGTTGAGTAGGAGGTTGTGGGTTCCAGTCCTGCCCGAGTCAACTTGTGCAGTTTTGTTCATCGAATTACTTTGGATGATGGCAAAACTTCCTTGGTGTTGTCTATCACACGGAACAGAAAATGAGACAGGAAAAAATATTTAAGGAGTTAAAGTTAAAGTTACATCAGTTTGGATCAAGAATTTATCATGAAATATACGATGTTTTGTTAGAAAGACAATACCTTGACTTTCTGTCTGTACATGTTATCCATGCCTGTGATGTCATTGAGGATGTTGCTGTAGCTTATGGCTTCAACAACCTGGTAGAGCGAATCCCCCACACTAACACCATCGGTGACCAACTGCCCATCAACAAACTGACCGACCTACTACGGCAAGAGATGGCCTCGGCTGGATTCACCGAAGTCCTAACCTTTGCTCTCGTAAGTCAGCCGTCCCCAATCCCAAACAGTGATTGAGGTACTTTGAAGATTTGGTTCCTTAAGTCCACTTGGGCGAGAATTAAATGTATGACCGTTGACACACCACGCTGGCATTCCACATTCTGAGTTATCCAGCCCCATGTTGGTTGGGACCCACACGGTCTTTGTCGTTTAAAGGGTGGTTAAATCCTTCTGTTCTTCCTGTAGTGTTCAAGTGAAGACATCTCGGACAAACTAAGGAAGGACATGTCTACTACAAAAGCAGTCACCATCTCCAACCCCAAGACCTTAGATTTCCAGGCAAGTGCTTACGATCATGTCACAGGTCCTAGTTTTTTGAGTCATCTCAATTCTCCAAATGTTAGATTCTTAGGTTAGTAATCATCCTTAATCCCAAATCCTTGATTTTCAGGACAGCTGCTCTCTTAAGCCCCTGGATTTCCAGGTCACCTCTACTTTTAAGACCTGGATTCCCAGGTCAGCTTTCAATTTTCCCATGTCCCTGGATATCCAGGCTACTCTCACCCTTTGATACAGAATTTCTTAGTCCCTCAAGTTCCAGGTCAGCATTGCAATTTTTTTTGCAATCCAGAATTCTATATCCTCCAGGGGTTTTTAAGCAACTGCACTTCAAAAATGTACACAATACAGTGTGCCTCATCAAACAGAATGAATGCATCCTAGGTGCGATGTTTCTCAGACCTTTTCAAGTTGTGTAATGAAATGACAAATTTTTGTTGTAGGTTGCTCGCACCTGTCTTCTCCCCGGCGTCCTGAAGACTATCAGCAACAACCGCAAGATGCCTTTACCCATCAAGGCTTTTGAGATCTCAGACATTGTCGTCCAGACTAAGGAGAGAGACGTTGGGGCTCAGAACCATCGACACTTCTGTGCTGTCCACTACAACAAGTCACCAGGGTTTGAGGTAGGCTTGTCCATCGTCCTGTTCATCTTGAGAGCTTTTAGCCGAAGGTGGTTTTGGGGTTAAATTTGTTGGTTATTCGTCTTTAGCTTGATTATCCAGAGCAGTGGAGGATTTGCATTGTATATCAACCATAGACATAAATAATCCTGTAGTGGAGGTTGTTGCACTACTCGGAAGAAGTTAAAATGCCAGTGGACTGCAATCGAATTTGTTCATTGTAGCCACAAATATTCCAGTGTGGAGAACGTTGCGTGCCAGACCTTGGTCTTGCTGAGAGATGTTCAAGTGTCATTTGTTGCTATGCTATTGCATTTCAGCATTTTGGTACACATTCTGACGAAAATTTGAGGGTTGCACACCAGGCTGTTGGTATGTATGTGAACCGCTGCATGCTTGAAATTGGTCCCATATAGGCAGCCATGAGTTGGTCGCACAGGGACATCAGCTGTCATGGCTCAAAAGTTTGAAGTTCACGGTGGTTCATATGCATGTGTAAAAATGAAAGGGTGAAGTGGTTTCGGGACAAAATCAAATTTGGAATGTCCATCCCTCGTTGTGGCGCTTGACTTAAGTCACCTATCATGTCTTATTTCAGGTCATCCATGGGTTACTAGACCGCACCATGCAACTGCTAGAAGTTCCCTTCTCCAAGGAAGATGGGTACCATTTGCAAGCAGTTGAAGGTAAGAAGAAGTGATTGAGCAAGAAAGGGGCGTGGCTATTGACAAAAATAGGGAGGGGGACCCCACGCAGTGAAAAAAACTCATCAACTCTGGAGTAACGTAAAAATGATTTCATGTCTCTCTGTCTAGATGCTACCTATTTCCCTGGCCGTTGTGCCGACGTCTGCTTCAAAGGTCAGAGTATCGGACGTATCGGTGTACTGCACCCTGAAGTGGTGACCAAGTTTGAACTGACCAATCCCTGTGCGGCACTGGAGATTACCATCGAACCGTTCCTATGATGGCCAAAACCATTCTAGACGTTGGACTCTGTTCAGGGTTATTCTAATTGCTTGTTTATCCAGTGTACATGTAGCGATATTTTATCTGTAAAGAGCTCTCTTATCCTTAACTTCCTAGGAATTCTTACAAGGAACCTTCAGGATTCCTCCAAAATCTTCTACCTTGTGGAAGCAGGTACAAAATGCCGTGTACTTTTTTGAGGGTCATCAAGCCTCCTGTAAAACAGTGGCTGGGGTCTACCTTCCCCAATCCTTCAAAATCCTCCAGAACCACCTGAAGGATTTACAGAGTTTTAAAGGGTTAGGGTTGGTGCTAAGCCTCCCAATGAGTAAATCAATGACACATTTTGGATGTCACCAAAAGTAAGTCCCCATACCCCATGTTAAGGAATATGTATTCCTGAAACCAGCAAAAGCCTACAAATATTGGGATTTGGAGGATTCTGCCTCATCAAGGGTTTGAGCGAAAACATGCAAGTTACACTTCGTAAGATAAACAGTTTCCAGTGTACAAGTACAGCAATTCGTCGTGTATTGAATCAACTAGAGGTATACCACATATCTTCTGTATATTTTTTCAAATTGCAGCCTGGTATAGAGTATCATATTCTTGGTAGACCCAACGCTACTTCCTAGTAGTTCCTTTTTTCTGAACTTTTTTTGGTTGAGGTATCAAGCATACTATTATAGACCTTTTTCCTGTGATGTCACAATCATGCTGGACCGCTGAGTGTTATGATGGCAACGAGTGCATAGCGTTGTGATGGTAATCTACCTATTCAAGATAAACTAGTCAAGCATGCAGCGTTCCTACGTGCGCTTGCACGTGATTGAAGCTGCCCGTAGGAATACATGTGATCACCGGGGCCACGGCGGTCCACACGTAGTGGTATTATTCACACTTAGTGCAATCCAGTCACGTGGGTGAAAAGGTCTATACTGATATTGTGAAAGATAGTTTGGTTCATTAAAAGCCAAGAAGAGCACTATGGTAGAACGCTGCTCACCGCTGCAAGGCCACATTCAGAAAGATGTCAGTGTTTAGTCTTGGCCATGGATAAAGAACACAATGTGGGCGTTGCATGTAAGATTATTGTTATTGTTATGTCTGGCTGACGTAAAGAAATATTTGTAAGTACCAAGCTTTGAAACTTAAAATGAATTTTAATGGCATTCTTAAAATAAGGGAAATCCAGACATTGGGTAGGTGTTGAATTCTTGGTCATTATTGTGGTGAATTTATTTCTACAACGTATTTGTGGTCTTCTTGTGAAACTTCAAACCATGCCTTATGAAAAGTGATTCAGAAGGTGAAGGGTGTTGTCTGAAAGGTGTACTCAGAGCAGTGACCAGTAGAATTTAGCAGCTGATTTAAAAGTCTCAGTATGCATGCATGCATGTCATAATGACCTATCACCACGAAATGTGCTGAAAGTTTGAATTTTCAAAAATTGAGATATTGGCATTTTTGAATTCAGCAGAAAGAGAGCTTTCCAATGGCATGTACATGGAACACTTAAGGTGGAAGTGTAAGGTGACAATGTGACATTATTCTGGCAGCTTTGCGTCTTTGTTTCAGCCATTGTTGGGTAAAAAAATCAAATATATAATTCTGTAAAACATTTGGAATTAACTGGGAGATGGGTTACTCCTTCAAAATAATACAAAACCCCCAAATTGACCTTCAATTCAATATTTGACTTTGAACCGTCAAAATAAAAAAGAGCCGAATGCGACTTCACACTCATTTTGTCGTGACTGGTCACATATCATGTAAGTTTGAAGATTTGGAGTGGAGACGGTGTAACTTTATAGCAATGATGCATTTAACTGGACAATAAAGAACTTCACAAGAGGCTGTTTGTCTGAGGAGGAGGTTGATGGTCTCTGCACAAAACCTAGACGAAGCCGAAAGCTCTTCTGACATGAGGACACGTCCACACCTGCCTGGATGTCTTCATGGAATGTTTGAAAAGATAAACGATTGGCTTTTGGCCTTAAAATCAAACTGAATGAATGCCAAGTGAGAGTCATCATTGCAGGTGCGTTGTGAGAACTCTGAAGATCCGTCAAGTAATCAGAGTGGGTGAAAATGCCCAAAAAACTCCACAACATAGTGTTTACAAATCAGTTTGCTTTAAAATGTCAAGTGTNAATTCGCCCTGTTACTCTGAATTTGCCAGGATGCGATGTTCTACTGTGACGCACCTTCATATCCTGTAAAACAGTGTCCTTGAGCCTGGCCGGATGTGCACTGAATGAATCGTGATGTATCTGAATTATCATATGTACCATTCGCAGTTATAGAAAACAATGTTGTTCGAGTAATCACTTCGGTTAAAAAACATTTTATTTGATCACAAAAATACAATAAAATAGAGAAACAAACGAGAAGAATGTAGTCAGTAGAGGAACAAGAAAACCAGACAAAAATGTAGGCTTTTCCGAAGGTGTTTGGACCTGTCAGTGCCATGCTGCAGTGAGATTAAATCTTACAGGCCCTCTCACTGTTTGTCTTTGGACAGAGGGGCATGTAAATGAGTGCCGCAATCTCACTCTGATCAAATCTGAATAAATACCCGAGAACTAAACCGATAGCCAACAGTTCCTCTTGATCTGAGTTGATTTCACTACACTTTCTTCATCTAGATGTTTCCTTGACGACAAATTTTCAAGCTTTGTGGAGCTTTTTTTGGGGGGGGGTTCTGTACTTGTTTCAGCAAATGCATTAAGCTACGATGGCGGAATAAGAACATGTTGACCTCTGTCATTCCTTTGACTAGTGGATGTAATCGTACTGCAGGTGCCCATCCTAACACAGGAATGTCATGAGCATGAACATGTAGGAGATAATACACATCTTTGCATGCAACTTTTACAGGGAACTCATGAACAGCTCTTGCTTCCACTGTCCAGTTGTTTTCACTTCAGAAGCGTCCCCCATTTCCTCAGCTTTTTCCTTCGTTTTCATTTGTTATGATTTTGATAACTTATCGATTGTACTCTTGCTGTTGATGTGACAGAGTCTACATCACAGATTTCAACGTAGCACTCTATTCATCCTTTGTTTTTCTGCCATTCCATACAAAGGTATTATTGTCAACAGGCATGACAGAAACAACAATAACGCATTATAATTATACCACACACTGAAAAAAGTAAACACAGGGATTTTTGCTAAAGCTGTTTACTTTATTGGCAATAAAACAAGTCAGTTGAAACACTTGTTTCAAAATAAGATACGAAACCAAAATTCAACCTTTAACACATTAATGTTATATAACTGTTAACATTACCACAGAGTGCTTTAGTAGTTACCGGTATTGTACTGACAAAAATTTAGTGAAAACTTCTTCGATATGCAAACCATAAATGGAAGGAATTTTCTGAGCTTTCCTTTGGACCAAACTTAAGGTGAAGACTCAAAGTGCCATTACTAATTGGAATCTTCTGCAAGGCTTGTAAAATGTTGCCAAGATGGGAAAAATGATTACTTCTGGGTTATTCAAAGAATTTTTATCAGGCTTAAACTATTTCCACTGTTAAAATATTGCTCAAATGGGATCCTGATTTTACATATTTCAAACGTTCATCCCATTATAATCATGCATTCCCCCCCACACAACTAATCATGTGTCAACATGCTTTACGAAATAATATCAAACCAAACCCTGGCTTTATCAGTGCCCAATTAAGTATAAACTCAACATGAGGAGAGGAATTATTACTTGGGTCGGTGTTTTAATTGGGCACACAGTCATGAATCCCAGGCGAGGGGGGGGGAATGTTTATTTATGCCCGCACACACTTTTGGACCTGTGGGTTGGGCTACTGAATCATCCCGGCCCCACTTTTGTGTGGTGAGAAAAAAACTGAATACAGATCATGAACAATTTTTCTGACTTGCCAATGACCAAAATCAATTTCAACAGCACTCAAGATGGAGAACAATGGAAAGTCATAAAGATACATGTACCCTGTCCTGATGTCAGGGTCTGCATGTATGTAATACATACTCAAGATCTACATGTAAGTCATGAACTCTGCCTGCCATATGATGTCACACGCCATCAGCATCCAAACCCACGTTTTTGAATTTCTAAGGTCAGGCAAGTCATCCCAACCTCAACCCAACCCCCCCCCGAGCCCCCCNCATTCGCCCTGTTACTCTGAATTTGCCAGGATGCGATGTTCTACTGTGACGCACCTTCATATCCTGTAAAACAGTGTCCTTGAGCCTGGCCGGATGTGCACTGAATGAATCGTGATGTATCTGAATTATCATATGTACCATTCGCAGTTATAGAAAAGTAATCACTTCGGTTAAAAAACATTTTATTTGATCACAAAAAATACAATAAAATAGAGAAACAAACAAGAAAAATGTAGTCAGTAGAGGAACAAGAAAACCAGACAAAAATGTAGGCTTTTCCGAAGGTGTTTGGACCTGTCAGTGCCATGCTGCAGTGAGATTAAATCTTACAGGCCCTCTCACTGTTTGTCTTTGGACAGGGGGGCATGTAAATGAGTGCCGCAATCTCACTCTGATCAAATCTGAATAAATACCCGAGAACTAAACCGATAGCCAACAGTTCCTCTTGATCTGAGTTCATTTCACTTCACTTTCGTCATCTAGATGTTTCCTTGACGACAAATTTTCAAGCTTTGTGGAGCTTTTTTTTGGGGGGGGGGTTCTGTACTTGTTTCAGCAAATGCATTAAGCTACGACGGCGGAATAAGAACATGTTGACCTCTGTCATTCCTTTGACTAGTGGATGTAATCGTACTGAAGGTGCCCATCCTAACACACGAATGTCATGAGCATCAACATGTTGGAGATAATACAAATCTTTGCATGCAACAAGTACAGGGAACTCATGAACAGCTCTTGTTTCTACTGTCCAGTTGTTTTCACTTCAGAAGCGTCCCCCATTTCCTCAGCTTTTTCCTTCGTTTTCATTTGTTATGATTTTGATAACTTATCGATTGTACTCTTGCTGTTGATGTGACAGAGTCTACATCACAGATTTCAACGTCGCACTCTATTTATCCTTAGCACTCTATTTTTCTGCCATTCCATACAAAGGTATTATTGTCAACAGGCATGACAGAAACAATAACACATTATAATTATACCACACACACATTCCCCCTACACAACTAATCATGTGTCAACATGCTTTAAGAAATAATATCAAACCAAACCCTGGCTTTATCAGTGCCCAATTAAGTACAAACTCAACATGAGGAGAGGAATTATTACTTGGGTCGGTGTTTTAATTGGGCACACAGTCATGAATCCCAGGCGAGGGGGGGAGAGTGTTTATTTATCCCCACACACACTTTTGGACCTGTGGGTTGGGCTACTGAATCATCCCGACCCCACTTTTGTGTGGTGAGAAAAAACTGAAAACAGATCATGAACAATTATGAAAGTCATAAAGATACATGTACGCTGTCCTGATGTCAGGGTCTGCATGTACATGTATGTAATACATACTCCAGATCTACATGTAAGTCATGAACTCTGCCTGCCATACAATGTCACACGCCATCAGCATCCAAACCCAGGTTTTTGAATTTCTAAGGTCAGGCAAGTCATCCCAACCTCAACCCCCCCCCCAAAAAATTCAGGCACAAATTCACCAAGTCTTCACCTGCCATCAACAAAATCAATACAGATTAAACTATTCTTATCCACTACAATCATGCATTTCTGTTCTATAAAAAAACCCGGGGTTACATGTACGTTTTACAGTGCTGTTGAAAACCCAATAACCAAATACATGTTCTCAAATCACTCTTTAGACATTAGATAGGGAGCAAACATTTATGTGCACATGTACATGTATGCATGTATTGATGCCAACAACAGATATATTCATCAGTTCTCTCAAGACCAATTCTTTGTTGGACTTCTCAGTAACGACTGAATGCACGGGTTATCTACCAGTGATCTAATAAAGCATTACATCATAGATGATGCCAAACTTCAAAATTCTATAAGGCAAGCTTCAAACAGTTTTGTAAACGTGTATTAGAAGTGAAGAGTGTGCAAAAAGAATGGTGGCTTTACACCGACAAACTGAAGATCAGACTAATGCCTGGTTTCTACAGGAACCTTATGAGAGAGATGAGAGAAATTTCAGCAACGCTTCTGTCTTCAAACAGCACAGCCTTTAAACATTATTATGTAGATGACATTTTGTTCTGTAAGCCGTTGATCCTGATGGATCTACATTAGGGGTATTCTCAGATATTTTGAGTTATCCCACCTTTGAGCTTTATTTCGGTTTACAAGTACACATTTTCAAGAGTACACCAAGCACGTGCACAATCAAGTTGGAGTTGTATGCCTTCATATTTGTGACCTATCATCCTCAAACCTGCAGCACCAGCAGGCACCGGTTACTTCACAACCCTGAAATTGTGGAACTTCCACTGTTCCAATTTTCATGGGAATTTCTGCAAACAGAATTTACATGTAACAACACTCTGAAGTGTAAAATAAAAGCTGAACAACATCATAAAAGCCAACTTCAGCTTGGTTTGGGGATGGAGGGTCACATTTTGCAAGTACGTCATTACAAAGTACACGTAATACAACAAACATGTACATTATTAAAAGTATAAACATGTATTACTCTTACGTTCTGCTTGTTTGTCGGTATGTAGCTGATTTCGTTCTTTGTTTCTTGGATTCTCTTGGACTTTTCTCAGCTATTCGTATGTCTCTGTTAAACTGTCTTATGTCATTTAGTCTGTTTTCACATAATTTCAATTCATGTATATAAACAGTAAACCTCGGGTAACATATTAACGTTTCCTTACATACCAATGTAGATGACAGAGAGTACCGAAGTGTGACGTCAATGTGAGCCAGGAAGTGCAATGCAAACGAATGGAGTACACGCCCCTGTTGGTTCACACGCTGGTTCTCTGGCTAATGCCTTTTACACACTAATTGTGGGCGTGACGTATTCACTACGGTACTCTATTTTGTCTGTCAACTATTGGCACTAATGGACATGTACATGTATTGCGTTTCCTCAGATAGCTTCTTGAGTTGACTAAAATCTTCTGTTCTCACACCTGCCTTCCTTTCAGTTTATGTACAGATTTAAAAGAATACTAATTACGCGTTTGTGAACAATGCATCGTTGTATGTATTTACATTTTGTATAAATACAGTAATACATTACATAAACAAAGTGTTCATTACTATCACATCATCATCATGTAGCATTATACAAATATAATAATTGTGTGAATTTTACAAATGGTTGAATCAAAGCTTATATAAAGAGTGTTCAAAAAAGTCTTAAGTCTATGTCAAAAGTTGCCTTGAATCCATTGTCGATCAGTCAATGCACAGTACAACTGGTAAGAGGGAATTGTCCGTGTACAAATGTCAGGCAAGTCTGGAGGTGTTGATATGAAAGTTGTACGGTACATGAATGGAAAGAAGGAAAACTGGCAAGAAAGCCTCCAAACATATGCTGCTACAATGCATCTACACTGTTGACAAGATGGGCCGAGGTTGGATGGCGGGACAGTTGCACCACGGTACTGAACAGCCAAAGTCGAGAATTACTGTGCTGGTTGCCGGCAATATGACGGGCGCCAATAAGCTACCCACTTTTGTAATTGGCAAAAGTAAGAAGCCTAGAGCACTCAAGACGACAGAAGTTCCAGTTGACTCCGTGGCAAACAAAAAAGCCTGGATGATGAGAGATCTGTTTAAAGCCTGGCTGCGTAAGCTTGACAGAAAGATGTACCTTGAGGGATGGAAGCTAACCAAGGTTGTTGATAACTGCCCAGCGCATTCTCATGTAGACCTTGCGAACAATGAACTGGTCTTCCAGCCACCAAATACCACGAGACACACTCAACCCATGGATTCTGGCGTACAGGAAATATTTCTACCGACTGATCTCAGCAACAGGACATTTTGAGGCCATCGAGAATGATACTAGGACATTTTGGATGTCATCACACAGAAAAACAGCCAGAGACCATCGTGAACTGCTTCAAGAAGGCTGGATTTGTTAAGAATACAATATCTCCAGAAGAGAACTTCTAGTGTGCGATAACAGAGAATGGGCAGCTCAACAGCTGAGATGCCAAACACCGAATTCAGAAACATCTGGTTGAGACTGCGTGAATTTTTTGGTGATCTGCATGTATAGCAGTGTTGTAGGTCTCGAGACCAGGTCTCGGTCTGGAAACAGTCTCGAGACCTTTTTTGTCTCAAGACCGAGAACTGGACTTTCAAGACTGAACAGGTATCAAGGGGGAGACCTGAGACTTTGACGTCCGAGACCAGCACTTTCAAGACCGAGACCAACCCTTGCACACTTCCACTGACAAAGACGTGGCCAGGGATTGATCAGCCTTTTGCACATGCGCATGTATTTCCAGATGAAATAAAGTCTACGTGCCCACGTGATCAGAGACTGGTTTTTTTAATTGGATAAGGTGGCTGGGTAACGAGTACACAAACAGCCACCAAAGTATCGGTACATGTAAAAGATATATTTGTTTACTGTCTCATGACTTATCTGCAATTTATTTTCTTCACATACTCTCTGCCATTCAACTGTTTGGATTACCTCATTTCACATGCAATTATAACAAATTTGTTGCTTATTTACCCTGTCTGATAACTACCGGGGGTGGGGTACTTTCTTGCTCCTCACTGTTTTATCTTTGTACTTTTTTCAAACAAATTTTCATGTCAGCTATCCTCCTGTTCATCTTTATTTCTGTTTTGAATTACATTTTTACGTCAAAATTTATCTCTAGCCGAAGCTGTTGACTACCGGTTATTGCATCAGTTAATCATTTATGATTTCACCTCTTTTTTTTGAAATCCCTCAGTGACTGCCTTCATCCTATGTACATGTATACTGTCCTAGTGTTTGTCCAATTGTTAGTCTCTGTAATTGTTTCGGTTTGATTTTGTGAGGACATCTCCGTATAAGCCCTTGGCTTCAGAGGATGCCTCCATGGTTGATGTTTTGTTTCACTTTCCACAGAATATTGATGAAATTAATTCACAGACCAAATAGTACCATGCATGTATGTAAGACTCAACGTACTCATATCAATTCATTTAAATCAAGAAATGCATCTTGACGACCAGTCCATTCGCCTTGAGGTCACTCAGAGACTTTCTGATGTGTCTCTTATCTTCCCTGGTCAGCTTACAGCCATCAAGGTCCAGTTTCTGCAAAGCCTTGCAATCTTTCACATGCCTGCACAATAAAGCAGCTCTACCTGCCAGGTTATTCTCAGAGAGATTCAACGCCACCAGGTTAGGTAGAGCACCGGCCGACTCAGCAACATGTACCATGTCCTGTCCATTCAGTGAGCAGCTACTCAACTGCAATCTCTGCAGGGTTTTGAAGTTCCTCATGTGACTGCACCAGCATCGTGCTGTGCCACCCAGGTTATTACCGAACAGGTTCAATTCAACCAAGTTGGGAAGACTGCTGAGCAACTCGGCAATATGTCCCATGTCCTGTCCATTCAATGAGCAGCTACTCAACTGCAACCTCTGCAGGGTTTTACACCACCTTACCTCCTTGCACCATAATTCTGCTGTACCAGTCAGGTTATTCCCGGAAAAATTCAATGTAACCAAGCTGGGAAGATCACTAATTGCCTCGGCAACGTGTACCACATCCTGTCCATCCAGTGAGCAACTTTTTAAGTCAAGCTGTTTCAGCGTCTTGAGAAGCTTCAACTGGGGGCACCATGAGAACGCTGTACAGCGCAGGTTGTTGTGAGAAAGCTCCAACGTAACCAGCTTGGTTAGGGTTCTGAGCGATACAGCAAGACATGACACACATTCACCAGTCAAGCACTCACAGAAGGTTGCGTGACGAAGATTTGTCATTGCACTCACGGAGAAGGCTAAACCTCTGATACATCTTGTTAAGTCACAGCGCGCAGTACTCAGCATCTTTACCTTTGCAAGGTAATCGCCGTCTCTGCCACCTGTCTGTTCTGCCATGCATTTCAAAAAGTATGCAACTGATGAGGAACTATCACTATCCAGTCCTGTGAGGAAAATGCTATCAGTAACAAATGAACTCACAAATTCCTTGGGAGGCAAAATTTTGCACTGACCCTCGAAATAGCAACGAAGTGCCAACTGACCTGACTCACTGTCGAATGATAAATCCTTACATCTCTCCTGAAATACCTTCAGTATCTCCAATGTACATGCCTCATTGTCACCACAACAAAAGCACAGGAGGTACTGAAAACTCCCTTTGTCAACAGACATAATTTCATTCAAAGTCTGCCTAAATCTCTCTCTTTCTGCTCCAAACAGGCTTTGGAAGTATACGGCAGCACAGAATTCCTGGAATGTCCTATGAATAAACTGTATTCTCTCGTAAGGGATTAGCCTCTCACAGACTCTTATTCTGGTCACAATACCTATCTTTAAAGATACATCAAGCGCACACGGCTCGAAGTCATTTTTTTCAAAAGACAACACCTGATGAGGAGAAAGAAGACCATGCAAAGCAACTTTGCCAAGTGTAATCACAACTCTGGACATTTCTTCTTTTGAAACCTCTTTTCTCCAGCCAATGTATTCAACTGCTCTGTGATAAAGCCTTGATATTGTTTCTGGGAGTGCCAAACCTTCTCTCCACAGTAGACACATCAAAAGAAGCAGCATTGGACCCTCTGCCAACGCAGATAGAAGTTTAGACGACTGAATCCTTTCCAGAAGCCCCTTAGCCTTGAGGGGTTGATCAGAGTAAAATTTCTCCACATACTCTTCAATGCTGTCTTCATCAAACCCCCTCACCCGGACATGCGTGAACGGTTCTTGAACCAGTTCCTTTGCAACCAATCTGTGAAAGTGTGAGGGGCGGGTGCTGACAAGTACAGTGCAACCTCTACACAACTTTCTACCCAGGATTTTCAGTATGGAACCGAATGAGGATTTACTGAGGGGGGTGGTGTTCATCTCATCAAAGCCATCCAAGAGAATAAGGACTTTGCATGAATTCCTTTCAATATATTGCCACAGAACAGTTTTTTCGGCATCCGTATTTGCAGCCAAGAGTTGGTCAAAAACTGCATCAGTCAGATCTGAACTCTGCGTTAAGTAACACATTTTCAAAAGGAAGACCAGTTCGTACTTCAGTAGTACCTGCTTGGAGCCAACTGCCCAATCAAATGCAATCTTATTGAAAAGCGTGGTTTTGCCACTGCCAGCCAATCCAGTCAAAACACCTATTGAGATCTGTTCATCCTCTTCTGTTTTAAGGAGAAAAATGTCCTCATAATGTACAAGTATAGTCCTGCATCCTGTTCTCCCCCCTAAATTCAACTGTGATTTGGAATAAATGTCTAAGATGTGTTTTCTGTCATCATCAACCCATGGACTCAACTGTAAATAGCTACCAATTGTCTTGTAGTGCGTTGCCAGTTTCTCTTTAACCTTATTAGCAGCAGCTTGAACTTGGACTTCAGGGGCTGTGTACTCTGGATGATGAAATATTGCAAAAACAGACACATAACATTAACTTTCTGCTTGGGAGGTGTTCGTAAGACTGGCAAAAAAAAATCTTCATAACCAACAATGTCACTGCAGTAGTAAAAATCTTGTGAGCATTTTGTAAACTTTCAATCCCCTTTCATTTCAATTAACAGGGGTTTAAATAATTTTCTTTAAGCCATAGGTAAAATACTCATTTCCCTTACTCAGAGTACAGTACTCTTTTGCCCTCAGTATTGTTTAGTGTTGTACTGTTCTTCCTGAGAGGGAGAGTTCTGTACTCCCTAAGAGGTGGAGGAACTGAAAAACCAATACTATGCGAGTTAGTTCTTTTGCCTTAGGAAATATAATAATACTTGTTATTTCTCTTGAAAAACAGTAAAAAAAAAAACAGCGGTTGATGATAACCATGAACTCATGACAATAGAGACAGATCACATACTGAGTAAGTCCGTATCCACTCATGTGCGACAGCACGATTGAGGCTCCCATTCACGGACGCCATGCTGACTGGCTGCAGTGCACACACGCCCAGCGGTGACCATTCAGAAAATCACCGTGCACTTCATCACTCAGCGGTCATATGTGCTCATACTTTCGGTCTTAATGTCCATCTTTCCAAGGCGTTTCAGACCCAAATATTCCAGAAAGCCTCTAAAATGCCACTTGAAAAAAGCACCTGTTTTTAGGGAATCAAAACTTACAGAAAAAATTTTTTTTGGGTGTAACTTTAAATAAGGAGTTTGAGGACTCAAACCGTATCCATTCGTGCCCAAATCGATGAGATAGTGTGGTCCTCGTAGCCTAGAAATCAATTTCACTGTATTGTGTCTTTGGGGAGTCTGGTGACCACATTTTTGTACACAAAACCGATCCATGAGCACAACGTGTGTACAGTTGCTCATTTCAGTCTACAACATGTCTCGCTTCAGGTCTTTGTCTTTGTTGAAAGATGCTGATCTTTCTTGATTCTTAAAAAAAATTCTTGAACCAAATAAATTCTGAAGGAATACCCACAGGATGTCAGTATAAACCTGTTATAAAGTGTACTCACCAATTAGCTTATCAGCAACTTGGACGCTCCCGATCTCCTTCAATGCCTTGCAGAGAGCTTCTGCCTGATTGATGTCATCAGATTGCTTGTTTCTCCATGTGACCAGCAGGCAGAAAATGCACCGTACAGTATGGTGGTGGTAATCAGCTTGAATATGCGTGATTTCTGCAAAGCTGAAGCCAAGCCTTATAGCCAGTTCCTTCCATTCACTCCCACGAATCTGTTCAGATATCCTGTACAGACTGCAATCATCTAACTCTACTGTAATGAAAACAAACACAGAGATTTATTTAAACAGATTGAATCTAAACTGGAACGAAGATATTGCATTTTTGCTGGCCCTGAACCATCAAACAACCTTCACTACTGAGAAAGTGAAACTTTCAGCCAAATGATTCCTGTTATCTGAAGACATGTACGTGTACACAAGAAGTCTCAACAGCATTCATAATGTCAAGCCATTTCCATATCTATGTTAAGAGACGAAGAAAACCTCACCTGACAAAATGCGGTATCGCTTCTAATGCAAACACGGATGCAGACGATCATGTTCACTATTACGAACTGTCTGCATCGAGTCACCAGATTAGGCCCACACAAACATGCAGGCTGGTATGGTGGCTAAAGGGGTGGAGCAACCACCCCCAAAAAGGCATTCCACAAGAAAATTTTCAGACTTTCAGACACCATTTTATTCAAAATTTTCAATCTGAGCCATACTATTTGAATCTTGATATCTTGAATGCTGTCAGCAATCTTCCCAACAACCATACATGGAAACACGGCTTAAGGTGAGTTTTGGCTTACAAGAGCTAACAATAGACTGACCCAGTGAGCCCCGCCCACTGCAAACGTGGGCACTTCACACATGTTCCTTTCCGATGCCACACTACATGTTTTAGCTGCGCGCATTATATATGCGCACGAATGTGTGTCAGATTTTTTGTCCACGCATGTTGGACATAAATCATGACTGTGATTAGTCAAAAAAACAATGGGTTGGGGCTTAATGGATCGGTCTATTAAGATTTCATGTGGTGCTACAGATTTCAGTCATTAACAGTCACTGTGCATGTAACTCACACCTTAAACTTACAAGTATGTAACAGCCGTCCTTCATCACCAAACATACTGACATTTATATTTTCCACGCAAAAATGAAATGAAACTCAGAATAAAAAATGTTTAAATTTGAAAGGCAACTATCATTTTTCTCAGACCAATCATGCATTAACCCTAACACTCCTCAGTCCTCCAACAGGTGAAGGATTGAGCAGGGTTAGGGTTAGGAAGCAAATACCAGATACAAGTATGTGGCTGACACGCTTGAGTTTGCTGGGCAAGTCAGGATGATTTCAAATGTGGAACACATGCTGCATTAACAGCCCGTGTGCGAGGACGTTCTTTTGAGAAATTGGACAGATATACACCAACTTGCACCAGGATTCTGCTCACCTCCTGCTCCAACTTTGCTGGATGAACTCCTTCTCCTCTTTCTTATTCTGCTCTCCCAGTCATCTGAATCAGCCATTGCGTCAGGAGTTGAGAAAGTGATTAGATCTTTTCTGCAGCCCAGAGCATGTGTGGGTTTAGTGAGCTGAAAGGACGTCGACAAACCAAAAAGTTGATGAAAAACTTTGTGAAGTTAGCTACACATCCGAATGCGCAATTTCGTGTCAGCGTACTGAACATTTTCGGCGCACCCACTTATCGTGGGCGCATTTTCTTTTGCACACGAACATGATTCTTGACCTTTCCACTTTCTAAAAACTATTTATTGAATGATTTCACTTACGTTAAAGAGGTATTTTCCAGTCTTTTTGCCTTTATCCATTCAATCTAACGGGCTCACTCTCAACAGTCGCCATCTTTACAATAACTTCGTTGAACATTACGTCACTTGACCCCTCATCTTCTTGACAGCTCTTCCATGTCAAGACATCTAAACTGCTGCCAAAGTTTTGGAAGAGCCCATTGGTACATGTAGTATCTTATCGCTCAGTCCGTTTATTGCATATGTCTTCACATGGAACAGCCGTCGAGACAATGAGGGGTCAAGTGACGTACGTTAACGATCTTATTTTAAAGATGGCGACTGAGAGAGCGAGCCCATTAGATTGAACGGATAAAGGCAAAAAGACTGAAAAATACCTCAATAACGTGAGTGAAATCATTCAATAAATGGTTTTTAGAAAGTGGAAAGGTCGAAAATCATGTTCGTGTGCAAAAGAAATTGCTCCCACGATGATAAGTGGGTGCGCCGAAATATTCAATACGCCAACACGAAATTGCGCATACGAATGTGTGGCTAAGGATGGCTCGGGAGTGAGAGTCCGTGCCACACTAGTGGGGCTACATTACCACCAACCATGGAGAAATAAAACACACCCCACCAACCTATCTACTCACTAGCTGGACAGCCTGGGCCCCGAGTTGTTTCGAAAAGGTAGACTTTTCTGGCCCCTAGGCCTATTTTGCAAACGCACAAACACTGGGGCCTGGGCCTACTAGGCAATAAAGAGTAAGCACGACTGTTTTTGAGTTACATTACGGAGGATAAATTAGGAGAAAAGCGTGCAGCGCTGGGCTAACCACCGCTGTATCTGTACTGTATCCGGCCGTTTTAAACGGGGGAACACCGGTTGTGCGCATGCGTCAGGTTTTTTTTTTTGACTAGTCACCACCAAAGGTTGTATAGCTGCGCTGCGCGGCGCTATACAATCTTTGGTACATTTAAAGGCCAATTTTGTGATTTTTTTCAATAAGCCTTATTCTATAAATATTCATTAACACAGTGCCTCTCAAAAAGGATTTAATTAAGGTGACCCTTTCAGCTCATTAATATTCATAGTACTTTTTACTACAA